AACAGACATGCCAGGGAACTCCTGGAGGCCTGGCATTCTAACCAGAACTCCATCAATAAACACACTGAAACGGACCAGATATTCAAACCACAAAAACAAAACCGGAAGTGATGCCATCCACCCCGGCAAACAAGCATATAAACAACAAGTGGGACACAACACCAACGCTTCGATGAAGGCACACTTACCACGGTACCTAGCAGGGTGACGGAACGTCTGCAATCAAACACGCTGGCTCGGCAAGCAAGTCTACAACCTCATCCAAAACCCAAGCTACAAGTCTCCTCAAAAGACTTTGAATACACAGTATGAATATTAATATACACCACTTTTATCTTGATTTATTTTCTGACCATTTGGGCTTCAGATTCCTGAACAGCAGTTTTGGTTTTTTCATAGGAAATGGGACTCTAATCAGCATGGTCAAAGTAGAAACTGAATAGCAGTGTCAAAACATGAAGCAGAAGGGACTTCATAGCAATTCTCTTAGAAGAAAAAATTGCATTTTCACAATGGTGCCTTAAATCTGAGGAATAGAAGCAGCTTGTGATTGACAGTGCAGTAACAGGGAAGTCTACTTGCTTTTAATGTCGTAGAAAACACAGGATCCAAATTCAATATTTTTGTGGAATGACTTAACGATAGTCAGAAATACTACTCAAGTGAAGAATTTCAGCAGTACTATTTTAAATACAGTGTCATATTGGTTGTAACAGAACAAAAAACTGGATCCAACTTCAATGCTTTCTTGGCATTAGAGGCACCACACTGCACTCTTAGATGGAGAAAGTAAAAGAAGTTTAAAATATTAAATGATTTATAAAGTTAAGTTACTTAAAAGAATTTAATGTCTAAGCATTAATTGGAAGTATGTGTGAATAACTGCTCAGTTTGGACATGTTTAGATTCAGCAAATTATCAACTTTAGGTCTACGCTCAAACATGAGGGACTAGGCTACTAGGATGAGTATTCACAGTTGTGACGATACTGTGGCTTTAAGAAGTGTGTTTTGTTCTGGTTTCTTTTAGAGAGACGATGGGGGAAACAGGTGCTGAGCTGTATGGGGAAAACAAAACGTGAAGCCTTGGGGCTTTTTTTTTTTAAAAAAAAAAAGCTGGAACAATAGAAGCAGCCTCAATTGGTGTGGTCAAGCTCCCACACACACACAGCCAAGGATTTTAGATTTAGCTTTCAGCAGTTGCTGTTGAAGTCTTGAAAGAGTAGAAATTATTTTTTCCTTCTCTTGGTTACAGCCACAAGCTGGGGGTTCTCTGCCTGCTACAGGAGATACACGTGACACAGCCCGTTTTCTGAATTTGCCAAAGGTTCATTTATGAGGAGATGTTACTATATTAGAACAGTTAGTTAGTAATAGTTACTGTATCTCTTATTGTGTTGTTTTCTAGTAGAGTTAAGTTATTCCACGTTCCTCTTTCTTTTGTTGTATTTTAACTATAGTGTTTAAATAAATTGTGCTTTGCTCTATGTCAAGTAGTTTGACCAATTGAATTGCATCTGGAATGCAGCACCTCACATTTACCTTGAAAATAAAAATTTACAGTCTTGGCTACCTTAATATATTTTGATGGGATCTGCTCTGGTCCATGACACAGTGTAACCACCCCATCAGAAAACAAAAAGTCTGCCAATCTGTTTAAAGGAGTAAGAGGAGGACAGAGGAGAAAACTGCCAAGAATGAGGAATGCAGATACAAACATTAAAATCAGGGCAAGAGTTTTGGCACATTGTTCCCCAAAGAAGTGGCATAATTCTGCCAGCACAGAGCAGCAGCAATACAAGCATGAACAGCTACCGGACATACTCTTACCATTTTGTCTTCATAGCAACTGCAACAAGATTTGAAAAATTCTTCTGAAAATATTTTTTGTAAATAACTGAATGATAGCTGGGTGTATTTCAGTCACTGTCCATCAGAGCAGAGTGCCCTGTTGTTTCCTAATTGGAATATACTGGTCCCAGTGTCAAACAATACCCGAACTCCATCCAGGGCATTGAAACCCACTTGATGGGCACCCACACAACATTAAACATTCACTTCCTTCAGCGCCAGTATACCAGCTGCAATATGCATTATCCACAAGATACAGTGCAGCAACTCAAAGTTTAATTAACAAAGCCTCCCAAACCTGCAATAAACCATACATCTACCTAACTTGTAATGAAAACAGAACAGCTTTTATATTTCCTAGATCAAAATACAAAAACTGACGACCCCCAATTTCACACCTGCAGCAATATAGGAGGGCAGGTCACTGGCCATTTTCACGACAAGAATTAAAGGATGGATAGTAATTGCTGGTCTTGCTTGTGACACAACAGCCCAAGAATAAAATATTTTCGAGAGGCTCCAGGGACAATTATAAAGCAAACTTCAAGAATCAACGAAATTAATTCCTTCTCATCGCTTTAGATAAAGGAATAAATCTGCTTGCAGCCAAGCTCAAGATCATTTGAAGGCCCAGCATGCTTCTCTAACCCTTAAAAACGTAACCATTGATACTGGTCTCAGCTAAATGAGTAATCACTGCCCCAATACTGTAGACAGTTAAGGATCTACAGTTTAGAGATCCAGGTTTGTCCAGGCTTTATTTCTGGTGCGTGCCAAGTTATCTTATTCAGACTAGAGTGTAGTTACTTTAATCAAGTGTTTCAGACATTATGACATCTCTGGAGCTGGTGGGACTTGATCCAAAGGTTTCCTAGTCAGAGGTAGGGAGAGTACCACTACACTGCAAGAGTTCTGACTAGTATGTAATAAGAATGCTTTAACTGGCCACAGGCCCTTTCAGTATGCAGCCAGACAAAAATCAGTCCATCAGTCACCAGGTAGAATAAACTCTCACCTTTTAACCTCAAAGATAATGATAGCAGAAGTCACAAATCTCAAGACAGTGGAGGTCTGAAGCAGATACAAAAACAAAAAAAAAAGAAAGAAAAAAAAAAGGTAAAATACCTTCAGCACAGAAACAGAAAAAGGAAACTGATGCAAAAGGACATAAAAAGATCTAATGGCCAATAATTTTCTTGCAATATTTATGAATAGACAAAAGCATTATTCTGGAAATCACTTGAGGGCAAGTGATGGAATGATATAACACTGAAGTGGGGGGGGGGGTCACTGGGCTTGAAACATTAACTGCCTGCTCTCCTCAGATGCTGCCAGACATGCTGAGTTTTTCCAGCAATTTCTATTTTTGTTTCTTTCCAATCAGATGTTTAATTATTTTCCTAAAGTAACTGAAAGGTTAATTTAGAAAGACCCCTTTCCAGTTAAATTTCAGTGGGAGTCAAAGAAAGGTCTATCACTCCATTGTTCTGTAAATTTCACTCACCATTGTTGTCAGCAGAGGAATCTAGTAAAATTACTCCTCAGATTTTAGGGAGTTCAATTATTTTATAAAAGGGTCCGCTTCAGAATTGGATATTGAACAAATGCTCGGACAAACAGACCAGTTCCATTTCATGAAGGCTCTGGATTGTGACATGATACAGCAAACAGAAACATAATTAGGAGCTCTCAATTCCCAGTGGAAATGTATTTCTGCAGCAATTATTTCATGCCCTAAAGGCAAGTTTGCATTCCAGTAACAATGTCTACCAACACTATTAGCATCATTATGAAATATACTACCATCATTGTCACCAGTCACCATACCCTGTTCTTAGAGAATAACTGAACTGTCATAACGGTCATGACTAGAAACTCTTTGCTGAACTGTTTCTCCTTTCAAATTATATTAGATTCTGCCAACAGAAGATGCACAAGCGCTCTCACTGTCAATAGCATAAGTACGAAAGAATTCTTAGGTAAGTCTGACCAAATACCATTGGTTCTCCACCAAGAGGAGTGCTCCTGCTTCTCATTTCTTTTGTTTTTAGGTATTATGGCTCTAACCCAGATAGTTAGCTTCAACTGAGCACTGCTTCTCCTGCACTTGTTACACAGCATAAATGGGTTTGTAATATCAACCTTTCCTATCTTCAGGCAAAGAGTTTTTTTTGACAGGGTGCACTGTTAGTGAGAAAGGGAAAGAAAATGCATGAAAGCAAGGGCAAGCCACAAACTACAGTCAGAGGCAGAGGGGCAGACAAAGGTGAAAGGAGCAGGGGACAGAAAGGGGAACCGGACAGAGTGGGGGACACAGAAGGAGTAAAGTCATTCCGTAAGGTTATGATTACAGAATAAGGATCATCTCTAAATTAGCAATATACTGTGACAGAAAAATTACAAATAGAACAATTAAAACAGATCAGTGTCGAAAAGGCTCTCAAATGGATAGAACCTGGTTAACACCCACTCACTGAACCAGAAGAGGATAACAGATAATCGTATGTGAAAAATCTAAATTAAGTGCCCACAAGATAGTTTCCTTTAATATTAGTGACCTTGGCAGAAAGCTCAAATCAGTGAGAGTTATCAGTGTAAACTCTTAAGTCTCCAATATCCTTTAAGAAAAGGATATGCAAACATTTATCCTGTTTGTATCTAAATTCTTCAACATATAGCAGTAGAATATTTCACTTATAATTAATTAAAAAAAAGCAAGTGGAAGAGTCAGTTTGCAGTTGTGTATTCACTGTTTTAAGAATTTTATTAAAGAATAATTTTGTATTCTTTAAAGTTAGTTTACAGCCATTCCTCTAGGTAAATGTCTCTAAAAGAGAAACATTACGCTACAATCTCTTGCCTTTTCAGTCACACTGTACTTTTTCCTTAAAAATAACATAACAAGCCTTAAGACCTCAGCTCTTTCTTATAATACACCCATCACCAAATTACCTAATGATGAACTAAAGGATTAACTAACCACAATCAATCATTATGCAACAATACCAAAAAGGGAACAAGAGAAATGAAATTGGATGGAAAAAACATACCTCAGCTGCTGTGGTTCCCACCTCTCTAAATGCCTTAAGCACATGGACATCACACGTTCCCTCTCCAAGGGCACATCAATACCAGTCACATTGTATTGTCTTCACTGCTACAGGTCAGTCACCTGCTCTTTAAGTGAATTCAGAATACACAATTCCAATTGGTATCGGTTTTGTACTCAAATTGTTAGGTTGCTGTAACCTCTCTAAAGCAATCTTCAAAACGACAACGTAGCACAAATAAAAGCAAAAGCTACCTTAGTTCAGAAGTTAAAATACCGATTTAAGCCAAAATCTGCTGTACACGTATAGTATGAAAGGTTAATTATAAGACCAGCCAAACAACTGTTTATAAAAATGCTTTCTGTATTGCATGATTATCTGAACCAAACAGAAATACCCATTTAGGTACAGATCATTAGAGAAGGAAACCTACTTCAAAAATCATTCACTTTTAGTACAGAACATAATAGTGTGAAAATTATAACACTAGGGCATACATTCTAAGACCAGTTTTTGGCTCAGGTACAATGAACGAGACATTTAAACCTACTCCTAGAGCGCAAAAAAAGGAGCGTTCTGATTTTAAATTAACTTCAGTTAAGACCATGGGGAGTTTATACTCTGAACAGATACATTTGTCATTAAATAAATTTCACTCAAGGGAATTGAACAAATTCTTTAATTGCACAAATGCAAAACACAATCACTGGCAAGGAAGAATTATGTGGCACCTGATCAGATAATCGATTTAAAAAAAAAGACTACAAAGAGTAAGTGACAAAAAGATATTTAACCTGAAACCTTAACTGTTTTCTTGCCACAGATCCTGCTTGACCTATGACTATTTCCAGCAATTTCTGTTTTTATGTCAGCTGGAAGATTGTGAAGGAAACAATGAACGATAGAAAAGGGATAAAGAGAAAAACACAAATGGAGAAGGAGACAGAGACAGAATAAAAAGGAGAGAAAAAAAGGTGCAGAAAAAAAAACAAAAAACGAGAAGTACTATAGATGGAATCAACAGCAAATTAATATTTCCGTCTTCTGGTCATCCTAGAGCACTTCGCAACCAATGAATTTCAGCCACTATTATCACATTACGGTCAACAAGGCCACTAATTAGTACTTACGTAATCCCACAAAAAACCTTGTCCTTTACAGTGCCCTTAGCACAGCAAAGCATCAGAAAGCACTTCATAACAGCAAAGGTTAAACAAAATTCAATGAGCCACAAAAGAGAGAGAGGTACTAAAACAAGGTGATCAAAAGTTCAGGTCATTAAGATGCTGCTTAAAAAAAAATCTCTTTAAGATAGTGTGCAAAACAGAGATTTTCAAGGAGGGTATATGGGAATTTAGATCCCTGTAGCTGACGACAATGTCACCAATGACGAGATGGAAAAAAACAACTCAGGATGTGCAAGAATCCAAAATGAAAGAATGCAGAGAGCTCGATGTTACAGAGCCAAGATCATGGAAGTATTTGAAAACAAGTATGGAAATTTTAAAACTAAGGCTTGGCCAAAAAAAAGGAACCAATCTTGGTCAGCATGTTTAGATTGGATGAATGAATGGAACTACTTGCAAGGTAGAATATGGACAATGAATCACAGACCGATTGTTATCACCTGTCCAATAATTAATTGGAAGAAACTTCTGCTAATTTAATGTTAGATTTCAGACTTCAGCATATCAAATCAGAGGCAAAGGGATCGAGACGATAGCCTAGATAACTTTTTCTTATTTTAAGTTATTCTACTGGGAAACTTGACAGAATAATAAATGCAGTAACTGTCACTAATTAACTGGTCCAAAATAGTAACATCCCACAGACACACCCCTTAGCAAAAAGGTAACTTCAGAGAGGGGGAGAGATGGGAAGACGGGAAGACATTCAAGTGAAAACTCAAAGTAGCATCAAGAAGACATTTACTGCAGCTTCCAACCTTGTTTAGACTCCAACAGCAACCGCTGAAAGCTAACTAAAAATCTTTGATCTGTGAGAGCTTGACCACACCCCCCACTCAGGCTGCTTCTACTGTTCCAAGTTTAAAAAAACTCCAATGCCTCACAAGTTGCTTATCTTCTTCGACTGCTCGTCACCTGTTCCCCAATCTCCTTTTGAAAGAAAGCAGGACAAAACATCTCTTAAAGCCACAGCATTGTCACAGTGTATACACAAGTCTCCTGTCACTGATTACAGATTTGGGCAGCAGAGGCAGAACAGGTATCTCTTCCCCTTCAAGGAAGAAAGGAACAAGAAAAACTGTCATGCAGGAGTAAGAAACAAGATAGAAGAGAGAATAAAAATGGCATCTTTTTACAAATAAAAGATACAAATGTTTAAAAGGAAAAAGGAAAATCGTACAACCACGTTGAGAAAGGTTAAGCATTTTAAAATCAGCAAGGGAATCAAGGGATACGTGGAAGAGGTAAAGTGGAGTTGAGGATTTTCAGATCAGCCATGACCTCACTGAATGGCAGGGCAGACTCTATGGTCTTTCAAGGCTTATAATTTTTAAGAAACTACATTACTTAATGCATTCTCTGCAATTGACAGTTACACTTGCGTAGTCTGCAACCTTAGAAGGTTTATAGAATATAACAAGTTAACAACCCATTTCCCTATCAGCTTCAGAGATAGTAGGAACTGCAGATGCTGGAGAATCCGAGACAACAAGGTGCAGGGCTGGATGAACACAGCAGGCCAAGCAGCAT